TACCATATTGTTAGGTTTGTTCCTACCGAATATTTTGACTATTAAATGAACGTCAAGAATATGTACAATAATAAAATTGCGCAAACAATTTTAATATTGAGAATGTTCCCTGACTTTCACTCGATAGTCAAAACACTCGGCAAGAGCAAGCCTATTTTAGACAGATGAGCCATAAAGCCTGATTTATAGATTGCCTTCCTTCCTTCCTTCCACCCGTAGAAGTTGAAGAAAACAAAAACCTGTTGTCCCGTAGGGAAATCTATAAATGGCACTACGATTTTCGTATTGTTCATCTTCTACGAGAGGAAGGAAGGCAATCTATAATTCAGGCTTTAGTTATGACTCGTCGTTGCGATAGTAATCTTGTCCAGTATGACAGGAAGCTTCTCTAAAAATTTAATTTTGAACTTTAAACTGATTTTATAAACAGAATTACGCTCATAACGAGCGGACGGTGGCTCAAAACAATGTGACTTTAGTGGCGATCGACTTTCGCGTCGATCGTCACTGTAACCCAGTAGATGTAAAAGGGTGATACTGTGACAATCTGTGACTGTGTCACAGAAACCCCTGCATACAAAAGAATAGGATGGGGATTGAAAAACATGATAAATAAAATTTTTTGTCATAGAATCCCCATCCATGCAAAAGAATAGGATGGGGATTGTAAAACAATGATTGTCTGTGTCACAGAAGCCCCCTGCATGCAAATGAATAGGATGGGGATTCTATGATAAATAAAATTTTTTGTCATAGAATCCCCATCCATGTAAAAGAATAGGATGGGGATTGTAAAACAATGATTGTCTGTGTCATAGAATCACCTCCTATGCAAATGAATAGGATGGGGGTTGAAAAACAAAAATAAATGCTTCTCAACTCTTATGGAATGTTTGATCGGGTTAATCGGGCACAATGTACTCCGCTCCCAGCCAAATTAATTGTATGCTATTAATAAAAAATATTTTCTTTTTACTATTTTGATTTACCTCGTATAAGTTAAAATTATGAAACTTAAACCAGTATCTGTTTAAATTGTAGCCTCCAAATGATAAAAACTGGGCTTATTGCCCTAGCAAAAGGCGGGTCATGTGGACCCTTTGCCCTTACTTTCAGGATAGGTTTTGACTTGGGTTGGTTGAAGAGAACTATAGCATAGTTGGCAGGAGAGGTAGTGGGTCATGGGTGGGGTTGGAATGGGTCCGCCAGCGGCCATTACTTTATATAGCAGGGGAATGGGAACAATCTGACTATAATAAGCCAGACGCTCCCATTGTCTGCGTATGAAATATCTGGGCGAAGTTGTTGTCGTGAAAAGCTGGAATAAAAGATCGTTAGTATTGTTTTTTAATTAAGAAAAGCGTTTAGAGCCGCAACTGAGGCCGTGGTGCCTTTAGTTAAATCGTAAGTTATTTTATATGCAAGGAGAAAAATTGAAACACTTAAATGAGCAGAAATTAGGATAATTTTGAAAATTTGAAAATCAGATGATTTTACATGATTTGTTTTATTTACTTGTAGTTTAGTTTAGTGAGAGAGTGCCCTGTTTATTTATTGGAAAAGAGAAGGTATTGTGAATGTACTCTAGTTTTGATTTTGGTGTTTTGGAATGAATGGCAAACTTTGTAGTTGATTCATATATTTGTTTAAATTATAAATGAGTTTAAGGGCAGCTCTCCCCTAGTTTTTGTTTGTTGAAATGATTACGTGAATTTAATTTTGAAAAGTGGATTATTTGGAAGTTGGTAGGGAGTAGGGAGTTGGAGTTAGAAGGGTCTACGGCGGCATGTTGTCGTGCAGGTAGTCTTGTTGTACTCCTCGACTGCCGCGATAGAGGCGGCGGTCGTTCGGGTCATAGTTTAGGGCCGTATGGAGGACCCTGTTTGTGATGATATCTGCCCGTTCAAATGTTGCATTAGTCCTTGCATATATATATTCAGTAATTGCTCTGATGTTCAGCTCTTCTCTCAGCTGTGAATTCCTGACAAACCACCTGGCCCTGGTTATGGTTCTCAGGAATTTGTTCTGCTGGATTTCCAGCTTGTTCAAGTGGATATTTGCTGCTGATGACCAGGCTGGGCAGGCGTACGTGATAATTGGCCTAATGATGGAGGTCCAGACGATACATTTGTTCTTCATTGACAACATATTGCTGGCATAGAGCGGTTTTAGGGTGACGGCAACTCCTATTAGTTTGAGTAGAATAGAGTCAATATGCGCCTTCCATGTCAATTTCTCATCGAGAACTACACCCAGGTATTTGGCCGACTGTGCCCAGGGAATGTTCTGGCCTCCGTACCTCAAGTTTTCAGGCAATTCACCTCCCTTCCGGAACATGATTGCCTGCGTTTTCTCCGGGTTAATTTTGACTCTGTATCGATCAGCCCAGGACCTGACTCTGTCCAGTGCTCGTTGCAAACGGCAGGCAATCATGGCCGGTTTTTTGCTCTGGTAGATAAGGGCCGTGTCATCTGCATACATGGCCATTTGCACTCCGTCGGTACGCGGGAGGTCAGACATGAAGAGGTTGAAGAGCGTGGGACCTAGGACGGATCCCTGAGGCACACCTGCTCTGATGGGGTAGACCTGGGATAGGGCGCCCTCTACTTTTGTCACGAATTCTCTGCCAGACAGATATGCAGCAATCAGTTTAACCATTGGCGGGGAAATCTCCATGTTTATCATTTTTATGAGTAGGCCTACATGCCACACTCGATCAAACGCTTTGCTTATATCTATCAGCACCATACCCGTTCTCAACTTGAAATCAAATCCATGCTTGATTGTCTCAGCTATCCGCAAGATCTGCAGCTCAGTGGATAGTTGCGGTCTGAACCCAAACTGCTCGTCAGGGAGCAACGACTTTTCCTCAATTTCCTCTTCTAGTCTGATTTTTATAGCTTTCTCTAAGAGTTTCGAGAGCGTCGGTAGAAGGGAGATAGGGCGGTAGTTCTCTGGGCGTTGTCTCGACTTCTTTTCCTTAGGGAGGAGTATCACTTGAGCCCGTTTCCAGGAGGTGGGAAAGTGTGTCGTGAGAAGCACTCCGTTGAGCAAAGTTGTAAAGTTGTCAACAGTGGTTCTGGGCAGGTGTTTGAGTGCCAGATTTGTTATGTTATCTTCCCCAGGTGCCACCTTTTTCCGGAGATTTGCTATAAGGGATAATACAGTGTCTGATGTAAAAGGCAGAATGCTTTCGGGATATTCGTCGGCTATGAATTCGTTTACGAATTCCACCATTCTCTGGTCTTCCTCCTCGTGACGTGGGAGGGGCTGGTTGTCTGAGAATTGCGCCTCCAACACTTCGGCGAAACATTCTGCCTTGTCTTGGCCTGAGTATAGAGGACCGTTGGGCCCAAGTAGAGGGTGGTTTTGGGGGGGATCCTTTGCCTTCATTCCTCTTATAATCTTCCAGATGTCGTTATTGCAGGTGGGGTCTAAGTTTTGTAGAGTTTCACCCCAATTGGCGTTGCGATGTTCGTGTAGTGCCACTTTGACCCTGCTTGCCAGTCTGTTGTAATCTCTTCTGTCCGCCGGATTGAGCGTTTGCTCAGCTCTTTTTTTCGCTTGCCTCTTGAGAGTAATGAGGTTTTTTTATCTCGGTAGTGATGGTATAGGGGCATGAAGCTGGCACGGTTTTAGTGACAGTGGCGAGTTGCAGGGCAGATGTTATTTGCGCAGATAAAATGTCAGCCAGAAGGTCCACAGAGTCCGGGGAGGTCGGAAGAGGATGGGCGACATGATTTTCTGCCAGTATGTTGTGAAATTTGGGCCAGAATGTTTTTTGAATGGGTCTTCGATGGTTGACTGGTTGAAATGGGCCAAGATGAAAGAGCACCGGGCTATGGTCCGAGGTGGACCCAGTAATGGTTTGAGCCGTGGATTCTAACGAGAAATTTTTAAGAATGGCAATGTCGAGAACATCTGGGCGGTGATGGGCTTGAGAGATGGTAGGATCGACGGGCCCGAGTAAGTCCCACGCTGAATTCGTTGCTAGATTATATAATTTGCTGCCATTTCTATTGATAGATGTGCTATGCCATAGGGGATGCTTAGAGTTAAAATCCCCCGCAAAGAACGTGGGAATGTCCTCAGCGAGGGCGTTGGAGAATTCTTCTTCGGGGAAGGGGTGGCCGGGGGGGAAATATCCAACTAGGACCTTAAGCCGGTTCGCAAAGCTGGTCTCCACATACACCGCCGTATGCTCAAGCGTAGTGTCCAGTGGGTTGGGACACGAACAGTGAGGGATGGAGTTTTTGACCATAATAAGAATGCCTCCACCACCGTTCAAGGAGGGTCTAGGTTTGCTATAAACGTGGTAGCCCGCAAATTTAGGCGAAAAATTGCTTTGGATGCGGGTTTCAGTAATAAGCATTAGGTCCGGGTGGAATTCCTCTATAATAGCCTCTATCTCCAGTTTCCTTGATTTGATGCCATTGACATTCCATAGAATCATGTTAAGGGAGGGTACTCTACGGATTTGGGCCATTAGTTGGGGCGAGTGGCAATGGACTGAGTTAGGGCGAGAATTGTTTTTTCTTGGTTTGTAAATTGGGTGTTAATTTGAGTGGTGAGGCCATTTATGGAGTGAATCAGGGTGGCCATCAAGGTGGTGAGATCTGGAGATTGCGTAGAAAGTGGTTGGGAGACCGGGGCTGCAGCTTGACTGTATGATCTAGCTTGTGTTACAGGTGCTGCCCAGACTGACTGGGATTGTGCGGACGACTGAGATGTGGGTGCTTCCGTAATGGCCGTGGCTTTAATGTTGGGGTTCCTGGGGCAAATCGGTGCATTGGCCGTGTGGGGACCTCCGCAGTTAGCACATTTGGGAGTTTCGGTCTTGGCTTTCTTACATTCCCAGGATTGGTGGTCGCCCGCACATTTCACACAGCGTGGGAAAGCAGAGCACTTAGTCTGAGCATGGCCGTACTTTTGACACACTGTGTAATGGTTCCCTTGCGTTCTAGAGGCTCCACTTTGATTTTTATTCTACAAAGGTATACTAGGTTGAATATTCTGTCCTCATCCGGGGGCACCTTTACTAGTACTAGTGGCATAACCGTTTTTTCTTGTCCTCTTCTCATTCTTGTGACTATGGTGGGGTGGTACTGGTGGTCCAGCAGGTCTTGTTTAATGTCTGCAATATCAATTTCCAGGGGAAGTCCTCGGATTACCACTTGCACGGTTTTTTCCTCCGGGAGCATGTATGTATGGTATTCCTCCCCATTTTCTGATAGGAATCTAGTGATGCCTCTGTAATCGTCACTTGAGCATGGGAAAAATTTCACTCCGTCTTGTGTGTTAGTGGCCTTAGAGAATTTTAAGTTCAACTTGGAGATGGCACTGGATACCATCGTCCATCTAGATTTTTTTCTTAGGATGATTGGTGGAATTTTATCCTGTTTAATCGGAATGGGGGTTGGATCCGGAGATTTGCTAGATTGTTGAGTTGGAGGCAGATATTCGCCAGTGCTAGGCTCATTTGTGATTGATTTTGGCTTGAAGGTAGTTGGGGGGGGCCTTGATACAGGGGGCTCATAAGATTTTCCGCTCTGAGATGGAAGCGCTGGAAAGTCCCGGTCCGGAGCTGGTGAGTTGTGAGTGGATGGTTGTTGCTCAATTGGTTCGTTGTCCATAGGCTCTGTGGCTTCCTTAGATTCTGGAGAGCTAGGAGTGGTTCTTTTGCGCTTGCTAGCGTGATTTTGCCCCGTTGGGGAGGAATCATGGGCATTTGTGGAATTACTGTGGTCTTTGTTTTGCAGGGCTGTGAAATTTGCATTTAGTAATTCGAGTTGCTTCTGCAGAGAATCTATTTGGGCCGCTTGATTAGAGAGTTGAGCGGTTAAACTCTCCACCATGTCTATTAGTCTAGCATTCTCGCGTTGTAAACGATAAGTTTCAAGGCATTCTTTGTCAGGGTTTTCCGTTCTTGGGTGGGATTCATGGGTAGAATGGTAAAGCTGATCAATTTTTGATATGATATTTGGCGAGATGGAGGATTTAGAGTTTCCGGTGACATTAGAGTCATCGCCAGACTTGCTTGATTTTTTCTTTTTTGGCTTTTTGTCTTTTTCTTTGTCCAGTTTGGACGGCTGTATTAGTGGTCTTTCTCCTTTGACTGGAGTGCGTACGATTTTTTGGGATTTCTGGAAGCCAGGGGCTCCGTTGTCAGGGTAAAAAAGGCCCAATGAAGGGATCTCCGCGGGCATAATGGGAGTTTTGGGGTGATCAGACATTTTTTGATTTTTGTTGTAGAATAAATTCTTAAAAATGTATGGGACAAATTACAATATGACTAGAAAAGGTTTCTATATTTGATTTAGAAACGGTCGTTAAAATTTTCTAGTTAATAAGTGAGTAGGTGAGACTATTGCAAGAGAACAAAGTGCTCAGGAGCAGGAGTTGCACCTAATGGCTTAGTCGAAAACGTGCACGAGGTATTTATAGTGAGGGCGTGGCCTGGTCAAAAATTGACGCGGCCAATGAGCGGGCTAGAAAGGGGGGCGTGGTCTGTTATTTGCTATAAATATAAAATTTGCTCTGTGACCGTAGCAAACCCTTCGCGGCAGCCGAAGGCTGCACAACTTGAAAATTGGACAAATATCGACAATTATATGTATAAACGTAGAATTTGTACAAGTAAAAATATGATAAATACGTAATAAAGGTAAAATATAAATAAAAATGTATATAGACAGGGACAGACATTTATTACTAACCTCGTGCACTGTAGAACAAAAATAACAACGTAGAAAACGAAATCACGGGGTAAAAACAAAAAACGAAGCATAAAGGGGGACCGACGCCTACTCAGTTCAGCGTCGGTGTATCCTGTCTGCTCGAGTACGCACAATACAATGATATGATATTATCTGTTTAAATGCAACATTCGAAAAGAATGCGATTCGAGGTCGGTTTTGAGTTTTACCTCGCTTTAAAAATTCAGTATCTTTTTACCTGTTCTTAAATAAGGTCAAGTTACCAGTAGGTACTTATAAATAAATGTTTGTTTTTGCAGTGTAAGTGTAAGTGTTACAATGGAACAACTCAAACATATTAAATTTGTAAGTGAAAAATTGTTTAATGTGATTGAACCGACAACGCTATAGTATACTTAATAATAGAGTTTTTATGCATGTTATAAACAAATTAAAATTATTTACAAATAATAAACGTAGAGTCTTCCTGACAGGTGGTTTTTTAAGTTTTTTGTTAAATTACTTAAATTCATATAACGACATCGATGTTTTCTTTGAGGGGGATGTACATCCTGGTGATTTTGAATTATGGAAATCACGAACAGTTAATAACAAGTATAACGAAGATCGCTTTAAATGTGTTTATTTTAAAGAAGATGGTATTTTATATAATTTTATCTACTTGAAAGACTTTTCTTTTTTAACAACTATTGAACAATTTATAACATCAATTTTAAATAGCTTTGATATGGATTTTTGTAAAAATGCAATTTATTTAGAACCTTATCATAACGGATTTAATTATTATCTTATTAGATTTAATTTTTGCGATATGTGGGTTCGTGATAACCTTAATATAACTTCTAGAATGGACAAGTATTTAAATCGACTAAATAACTTTGATCTTTATATTGGAAATCCACAAAAATTATCTTTATTAAGTTTGTTGGAAGTTTCTAAAACGCAGGAAAAAGAAGCAAACAAAACTGTTGAAACATTTTTTAATATCATAAAAAACTAAAAAAATAATATTTTATTTTAAATGGTGTAGGGTATATTTTAATTATATTTTATGTTTTAGGATGAATATTTAAATATTTAAACTTTTTCTATACCTATTTATTTTAATTACCAAAATTCAACGAAATAATTTTTACCTTCTTTTTATTACCTGCTCTTTACAACGTTCTACGTAAGGTAGACTACCTGTGTGATTTCTTTTATTATCATTCGTTAAGAAAACGTCTTAGTTGACGGGGTTTTAAATTTTCAACGAATTTAAGTGAGTATTTATAATAAAAATAATGTCTTAAATTAAATAATCTCTAACAATATTTTTCTGTTTTTGTACAACATTTAAATATAACTACCTACGTAGTTTGTAGAGATCAAAACAGTTCAACAAAGAATTTCAAGAAGTCGTCTAAACAAGAATGTTTCAAGGTTACAATCCGGTTAAATCTGCTGTTTCAAAATAATGAACAAAGTAAGTACTATTAATTAAATATTTAAAATTAAAATTAATAATACTTTTTTGTAGCCTTATAATTTTTTATTAAATTAAAACTTATTGCTGTTTTATATGCTAATAATTAAACAAAAATATTTGAAAATAATGTAATATAATAATAATAATAATCGTCTTTATTTTTTTAGTAAAATATTACAATAATATTATTAAATACTTTACATAAAGTGGCACACAATGGCGAAGTTTAGCCCAAGGCTACTCTTACACTTAACCAAGTGTGATATTATAATACACATATGTGTATATATATAAAAATAAAGTAATAAAAACAATATGAAAATTAAACAAGTTAAAAAATTTAAAAAAAAATAAAATATTCCTATATATATCTATACACTGTATAACATATAATTACTCTCTTTAACAACAAAATTGTTTACATAATAATATTATAAACTTTAATGGAAAAAGAAGCTCTTATACTTTTTTTAAATTTATTTAGAGACAGTAGATTTATAATTATTATCAATTGAGTTGTAGTAAGTTACTGAGTTAAAAGTGAAGGACCGGGTGAATAAAGCTGTTGAGTGCTTAGGTAAAGATAATAGGCGAGCACGTCGTGTGTGGCGATCGTGTATGTCATGACCAAAAACTAACTTTTGTCTTAAGTATAGAGGTGTAGAGGTAAGAAGAATTCTGTGCACAAATGTTAAATAGTGGAGCTTTACAACGTCGTCTGGTTTGAGCCATCTAAGTTCAGCTCGTTTGATAGATACATGGTCATATTTTCTGAGGTTAAAAACAAATCTCACACAAGTATTTTGTATACGCTGAATACAGGTTTTTGTTTGCAGGTCAAGACACGGGTAGTACAAAATATTACAATAATAAAAAATTGACAGAACAAGGCTTTCAGTTAATTTCTTTCTCATTTTAAAATTTAAAATATATCTGTTGCTATAAAGCAGTTTTAATCGTAAATATGTTTTTTTCAGAAGGTTTTTAACATGACCAGTAAACCGAAGATTTTCATCCACCAGGACACCCAGATTTTTAGCCTCTTCTAAGAAATTTATACTTTCATTATTTATAAAAAGTTTGATATTTGATTTTAATTTTTCGCGGAGATTTTTAGAGGAAAAAATCATAGCTACAGATTTTTTTGGATTTATATTCAGATTATGGTTTTTGGAAAAAATATTTATTGAATTTAAGTCTTCGTTTATTTTGAGGTTAGTTTCAAATATGTTAGCAGGGTCAAAACAGTATAAGATCTGTGTGTCATCCGCATAAGCTTGCATATGCACATATTTAGTTTGATCAAATAAATTTGCAGTGTATAGTATAAAAAGCAAGGGACCGAGAATTGAGCCCTGCGGTACTCCGGATGGTACAAGGCAGGAAGGTGAATAAGTGTTTTTTAAGCGTACTTTTTGAGATCTTTTTGTCAAATATGAATAAAAAAACTGACAAGAAATTTGATCGAAACCATAATAGGGCAGCTTGGAACAAAGAAGAGAGTGACTTATGTTATCGAACGCCTTTGAATAGTCCAAGGAGACCAAAATAGCAGCTTGTTTTTTTATCCAAGGCTTTAAAAATATTATCAGGAAGATACAAAAGGCACGAGGTGGTACTATGGTTTTTTCGAAAGCCCGATTGATTTACAGGCAGAATACCGTTTTTGTCGAAATATTCAACAATTTGAAAATTTACTATTTTTTCCAAAACCTTGGAAAATACCGGTAACATCATTTGGATTGTTTGTTTTGGGGACAGGACAAACAATAGCTTCTTTCCAACTCTCTGGAAAGAACCCCGTTTCAAGGCAGCAATTGATTATGTGTGTAATATATTTTAAAATATTTGGAAGACAGTACTTAATCATATCTAATGATTTATTGTCGGAGCCGCATGCATTCGAGTTTAATTTTGCTATTATTTTATAAACATAACTATAGTCAACAAGAGAGAAAGAAAAGGAAATATTATTTTTAAACTTATTACTTTTGTAAAAAGATAAAACTTCTGGATTTACTTCAGTGGTGTTATAAACAGACATAAAATAATCATTTATGATAGTTGGGTTACTTATATGATCAGGCAAGTCAGGTCTATTTTTACTAGTTACTGCAAGGTCATATAAACTTTTCCAGAGGTCTTTAGGACGGTTTTGAGCTCTAAGATATTCTAAATATGCCATTTTTTCCCTTCTTTCCGAAGATAAAGCAAAATTTCGCATTTCTTTGTAATGATCCCAATTTTCCTTAGTTTTATTTAAATTAAATGCTTTTAGTGCCCTTCGTTTTTCATTGAAAATTAGTTTTAATGTATTGGTTAACCAGGGGGCCGAGGGCTTGTTTACACGAACGGTTTTTAGAGGTGCATGAGTATTAAATAAATGTATTATGGCTGAGCTTAGTACATTTACTTTAGCATTTATATCTTGTAAGTAGAAAATATAATCCAAATTTACACGAGATAAATCTTCTTTAAATTCATCAATGTTTATGTTTTTTAAGTCTCGAAAAGTAATGAATTTTTGTCTACATTTTTGTAAAACAATCTTAAGTTCACAAAACACCAATTTATGATCAGATAGCGGATACGTGTCAAAGATTCCATAATTTGTAACTAAACTTTCATTATTTATATAAATTGGATCAATCAAAGTAGCGGAATTTCCTGCAATACGTGTAGGCTCATTTATAATTTGTACTACCCCATGTAAATCAGTACAAGCACTAATACAGTTGTTTACATTTAAAAGATTTATGTTAATATCCCCCAAAATGATGACCACGTCAGAAGACGACATAGCAATCGGCAAGATATTATCAAATAATTTTATTAATTGACTAGCAAATTTAATGGAGGGATTGTAAACAATTATAACAAAAATATTTGGTTCAGCAGTTTTAAATGTAAGACACATACATGCATACAGGTTTTAAAATATTTTTTATTTAATTTTTTAGCTTGTACATAAAAACGAGGTCAACACACACACACACACAGTCGAACAAAGGATCCAACAAGTTTTTAAGAAGTCGTTGATCGAGAATGT